GATGAAGCCCACCATGTCCCGAGATAGCGGCAGCCCACGGGCCTGCAGGAGGCCGGCCGCCCCCTTGAAAGCGAAAAGCACCTCCCTGGGGACCCTGGCGGGGCACTCGGCGGAGCGGGAACTGACGTCGTCAACCAAGTTTTTCTATTATCCGGGTGCTGTGTGTGGGCCCGACGCGCCGTAGAACCGCATTCGCGATCGACTTCGCCAGCCCCGTCGCACGCGAACACCCAGCAATAATCGCCCCGCTGGCGCGAATCACCTCAGATGTTGAGTTCCAGCGGGAGGCCTTGCGAGGCCCTCTGTAAAGGCAAAGAGGGCTTCAAGGGGCCGAACAGGGAATTCGGTGCCCCAAGCAGCGCAGACGAGCTCCCCGCGGGGCACCGCGTCGCGCGGCTTGCGGAGGCCCACGCAGACACCAGCACTGGCAAATTTAAACTCGGGGGCCACACTAGCTAGAACATTGCGGACCCAGGCGGATTTGTCACGCGATGTTTCGGACGCGGCGCCGCGCGAGAAACTGTCTGGCATGGCCCTGTTCCGCTCCGCCGCCCGTCTTTGGCGCGGCCGCGACCGCGCTCTCGCGAGGAAAGGGGGGCCCTACGGGCCACGCCCCTCCCGCGACTTTGGCAGGGAAATCAACTGGCGCAAGCCGCGCCCCTGACATCTCGGGCCGAGCTTCGCAGCTCCCCACTGGGGGGGGGGGGGGCGCAAAGGCCAGGAGGAGAGAGGCGGGAAGTCGCTCGACCCAGCGCGGATGGAAGCAACCCCGTCCCAGCGCAGCGTCAGCCTCGGAAGCGCCCAGCACAGACCTGACCTTGTCGGCCGCGAAGGCTGGGATCCCATGCTCAATCGAGACATCCCGTTGCCCCTCGCTGGCGCGACCCAGAGCTTCGCCCGGTCGCCGATCATCGCAAGGAGGTCGCCGCGCCCCGCGACGGGATTCCCGCCGTCGAGGTCGGCCAGCTGAGCCCCCTTCGGGCCCGTAGAAAAACGGCGGGCCAAACTGCCCCCCTTGGCGAAGGCAAGCTCCGAGCACCCTCTCCAGCTTTGCGCGGCGGCGGCGGCCCCCAAAGCCGCGTGCGCAAGCACTTGGTACTGGATGCATTTACAAACCTGGGCGCGGGAGGCAGGGATGCTCAGCTCAACCCTTCTAAACACTCGGAAACAAAACTACGTCGGGGCCCGCCGCCCCCCGCGCGATCCATGCCGCCCCGCGCGTCCCCGTATTCAGTGAACATTATCACCGCGCTGGCTCTCTGTTCGATCTGCGGCGGCGAGTCCTCGCCATCCGCTCGTAGCCGCTGCGTGGCCAACCTGCGCACCGACAACCACTTCTGCGTTGAAAGACTGGCTATTCATATGAGGCTCTTGCCCCGCTGGCAGGCTAGCGGCGCCTCCCCCAAGCGGCAGCCCAGCTCTCGACCGCAGCGACGCGATCTCTCATGCCTCGGGATGCAAAGAAAAAGACACATTCATGGCTCTGCTGAGCCGGGCGATCCTCTGGCGGCGGAGTCGAAATGCTCACCGCTGCAGCTGCGAAGCCCTGCCCACTGCGACACGTCGCCAGACGCAGAAGGTTGCCCTGAGACAAGCATGCGGGAACTTTCCTGCCCAGCGCGCCCGCGGGCGAAGTTGCGCCCCCCCAGGCCTGACAACCGAAGCGCGACGCCGCGGCGAAGGCAAGCCGGCGCGTCTGGATCGCGCCCACCGGCATCGCAAAAAGTGGGAGGAAGTCGCGCAGGACAGAGAAATTGCAGCAGGAGTCGTTGCACATAAAAAAAATCCGCCGCGAACCGCTTCAGCGCGCGAATGGCTGAGGAGACCCCCTCGCAAAAAAAAGCGTCGCGACCGACACGCTCCGACTCGGCGCCCCAATCGCCCGCGACAATGAAGCGCCAGCATGACGAACGAAGCACCTGAAGAAGCGACGCGAGCAGCTCGGCGCTGCCCGCCTGGCCAACGCTGCAGACGCCGTAGATCGAGTCGAACGACGCGCGCCGGAAGAACAGCTTGCTCTCGTGGTACTCCTGCTTCGGCTCGTAGGCGCTAGCCGCCAGAGCGGTCGAGCTCGCGCCGCCTACTCCACTGGGCGTGGCACTGCCACCCTCGCCCGGGATCTCGCGGCCATTGGCGAGGAAACGGTGGCCGCGAGCCTGGGCGCAGGACTGGGCCCGCCTGAGCTACTCTCCGAAAATGAGCTTGTGCTCCTGGAGGAATCGGCCTGGCATCCTGTATCATGCACAAGCCATTCCATGCAGGACTGCTCCATCTACCGAGGGTTGCCGCTGTTGGTGGCCAGCGCGAGCTCGCTGATGCCCTCGGTCTGGCTGGGCCGCGCGCCATCCGCTGCCCGCCGTAGCGAGACCGCTGCCGCCGATGCCGAGGTGGTGGCCGAAGGTGGACTCGACGGCCAAGTCGAAGTGGCCCCCGGAGGCGTGGCGAGCGACTCCAGCTCCGTAGCATCAGTCAGCCCCTCTCCGTCGGCGCAGTCGCACAAACGCAGCTCGGCGCAGCAGGGTCCGGCCCGCGCCCCGCGCGCGATTGGTCGCGTAGCCCCTGGCTGAGAAAGCGGGGGCCTCGAAGGTGACGGCGCGCTCGGCGCTGCCCCCCGCGCCATCCGAACGCGTTGAACAGCGCGAAATCCGAGCGCGTGGGCAACGACCCCCACCCCCGACGTGAAGAACTTTAGACGAATGGGACCGTCGAACGACGCGCGCGCTGCAAGCGGCAACAGCGCGACGGCCAGCCAACGACAGCGCCGCGCATTTCAATGCGAACGGCGCGCTGCCGCTATGCTCGTTGACGCCTGGTGAAACCATGGCGCTGCCTTGTGCCGGCGCGATGCCGGCGCCAAAATCATCGCGGATGTTCGCGCCCTCGCGCCGCGGCATAAACGCGTCGGCGATCGGCGGCGCTGGCAAGAGCCCGGGGCGGCGCCCGCGGCCCGCCCCGCACGGGCGCGCATCGACAAGTTTCGGCCTGGCCCAAAAACAAAATTTAGCTACCAGGCGACAGTTTCAAACCTCTATACAAAATCGATCTAAACTGCTCCGAAGCGAAAAATCTCGCGCGGCGCGGAAGACCCCCGACACGCCAATACAACAATTATACAAACGGAAAAAAACACTATATGGGAACAGTCGCCTCAAGAGAAACGCTCCCGATCTAAACTTTTCCGTCGGCGGGTTGCGGGGGGGCGACGGGGGCGGGCGGGGGCGGGGGCCCGCGGCTGGGCCAGCGGCGCTGCCGTGCGAGGGGCAGCGCCGCCGTCGCCTCAAACAGAGCGCCGCGGCCGCGGCGCGCGCGGCCCCGGGAATGCCGGCGCGGGCGCGGCCGCGCCGAGCGGGCCCAGCGCGTGGCCGCGCGCGGGCCCCCCCTGCGGCAGCTGGCAATGGCCTCGCCGACAAGGCGCCTACGCTTACACCCGTTCGCAAAAAAATGCAATGCGCTGACCTGTAAAATCCATGGATGTGGGGGCGCGCGCCGCCACAGTCGCCATGGGTTCATGGCACCTGCCCCGTGGGCCTTCGATACGCCAGACAGGATGTGCAAGTATTGTACGTTTCGTAGCACTGGTCTTCCTCTCATCAAGTGGGGCAACAATTTCACGTGCTTCAAGTGCAAGCTGCACAAGTCTGTTGCCTTCAAGTGTGTCATGACAACCGCCCAAGGAACCGTCCAAGCGGAGCCGCCCATCGGACACGGCCGCCTCGGAGTTGTTTCGCAACTTGGAGCGAGCCTGGGGGGTCCACGCGCAGATGGAGTCCCAACGCAAGCTCTTTTACGACAAGAATCCGCTGCCAGCCAAGCTCAACGCCATCTCACACCGGGCGGGGGCTGCTAGAAAGTCTCGCGACAAGACCGCATTGGACCCGTCAAAGGCGCAGGAGGTGCTCAAGGAGGCCACCGAGGCGGTGCGGCTGGCCGAGCACCCGCTCGAGACCAAGAAGGCGGACTACGCCAACCTGGAGGCTAAGCCGCACCGGCTCGCAGCCTCTACGCCTGAGGTCCCAGCGGCGCGGCAGCAACCCGAGACCAACCTGGACGCGTCCGCCTTGGTCGAGCTTTTGGGCACCATCAAAGGAGCCCGCGATCCAGAAGCTGTGGCCCCGCGGCTTCTCAATGCGCTGGCTGTCGCTGCGGCTCCTGGTGGCCCTCCAGCGCCTTCTACCCCTGCTGGCGGCCCTCCCAACGAGGGAGCTCCTGCTGGCTCGCAGGAGGACGCCTGCGAGGGGCCGCCCGCGAAGACGGCGAAGCTGCAGCATTGGGGCCCTGAGAAGAATGGCATCGAGAAGGTGCGCGAGTCCGTTTCGGAATCCGTCTCAGACGACACGGGCGACGAGGTGGTCGTGGCCAAGGCGAAACCCTTGGCGAAGCATGGCGACCGTGCTATCCTGTCTGCTGGGTCGGCTCGCCACTTGCCCTCCTCAGCCCCCCCGCTCAGGGCAGCTCGGCCTTGCGGCGGGGGATCGCTTCCACAATGAGTCGCTGCGCGCATTCTCCTTGGGCACGCAGCGGCTGGTCAGTTTCAACGGTCAAATCACTGACGCGGACTGGGGCGTAAGCTTCCAGGTTCCTGCCGTTCACCCAGGATTTTTTTTTCTTCGGACGCCAGGTTCGATTTCTTTCGCGAGTCTTGCGCCAGCTCGCTTGGCGCGGCATCCAGTTTGCCGCGGGCTTCGTCGTCCACTGCAGGCTGCAGGAGGGCGCGATCAAGTTCGAGGGCGGCGGCGTCTTTTCCTCCGAGCGCTGCGTCTAGGGGTCCGAGGGAACGTCCTGAGATAGTGGAGACACCTGGGAGCTCGGCGCACAGCCGAGAGGTTGCTGTGGAGAGGCCCAAGTCCTCCCGTGAAGGCGCAAAAAACGATGAGATGGCCGCGGACCAGCAATATACGTTTTGGCCCCGAGGGAACCTGGCATCTTGAGCCGAAATGGCTACGGAGGAGGAGGAGGAGGAGGTGGAGGCGGCGGAGGGAGAAGGGAAGGAAGGAGACACG